TGACCTCATCAAACATCAGTTGGTAGAAGGAGAAAGTGGCCACATAATCACCAGGTTTTAATGAGGTGGAATTGTAACAAAGAACTTTAAATGGGCAGGAGGGAGGGACCTGAAAGGGGAGGTTTCCAAGCGCTGGAACAATGGCATCTACTAGTAATTGTTAATAATAAAATAACTTTTCCTTATGACAAAATGCTGAGGGCAGAGTAGAAAGAACCGAGGGAGAACCTGGAGTGTGCAATGAGCCAGGTTACGTTTCAGGTGACACATCTTCTCATAACACAACATAATGTGAAGCCCTTAGTGGGTTATCCACTTACTTTATTTATATTATTGATTCCTTTCTGACAACTTTCAGAGCTTCGCTACCAGCCACCGTTGTTACCTGATCCTGCTGACATAGAGTGCTTCTAAAAGCCGCCGTAACTGAGGTCCCTGCTTGCTCTCATGCACGCTGTCCTAGTTTCTGATTTTTGCTGTGGCTTTGTAGATGAGGGTTTTTTGTGTGTGTTTTTCTGGCATACTAGAAACCAGTTTCGTTTTTGAAGCTAAGGATGTGCGTGTGTGTGTGTGTGTGTGTGTGTGTGTGTTAAGACATAAATTAGTGTTGTATGTGCACAGGTTGAGAGGGTAGGGACCCATTATGTATCAGTTCCATGTAAAGGCAAAGCCTTTTACAATCAGATCTATTGCAGGGGTCCATGTTACAAGACATCTCTAATTTAAATGAGATAATATATGTGGAAGTTCTTAGCAAAGTACATAAAGCACAACAGATGCTCAGTAACAATGCGAGCCAAATTCAGATCTGAATGACTGCACCTTTTATTCAGCCCTGCTGCTGCTTCCCTCTGTTGATAGGAATGATGAGAGTGGTTTTTAATTTTTAGAGCTCTATGTTCCAATAATGATTTGCTTATTCTAAAGCTATTTCTCACAGTCCCTGGTGGTCTAGTGGTTAGGATTTGGCGCTCTCTAAAGCTATTCTCTGTATTATAAAGTGTATTTCTTTGCTGTAGTACATACAGATGCAGAATCTAGTTTTGTAGGGTGAAGTTAATTTAACTCAATATGTAAATTAGGAAATGGACTCAATTGTTTGGGAAAAGTTACACATTGTTTCTATCTTGTTTCTTTTTAAAAATATATTTTATTATTATTATTATTTTTTACAGAGAGGAAGGGAGAGAGATAGTCAGAAATATTGATGAGAGAGAAACATTGATCAGCTGCCTCCTGCACGCCCCCTACTGGGAACGTGCCCACAATCAAGGTACATGCTCTTGACAGGAATCTAATCTGGGACCTCTGAGTCTGAAGGCTGACGCTCTGTCCACTGAGCCAAACCGGTTTCTAAGCCTATCTTGTGTTGAATAATTAAAATATTTCCAAAGATAAACGATGGAGAGTTCAAAAGGAAATCAGAATGTAATTACCCTTGAAAGTAGGTTATTCTTTTTAGAATTCATATGGAGAAAATGTAAAATAATACATCTCAAGCCCAACCTGAGTCTGGGAGACCCCAAATATCCCAGAAGCAACTCAGCTCCCTTTTCCCTGCCCTACTGCCGAGGTCAGGGTGAAGCCCCAGAGCACGAGGGCACTGCAGCTCCTGAGATCTCTGTGATGTGAAGGCAGGAGCCTCTCCCTGTTGGGGGCTTTCCTTCCCTTCACTGGCAGCCAAGCAGAGCCCTGCCCTCCCCAACATCTTGCATCAGCTCTTCATTCCCTTGGCTTGAAGCCTATAGATTACAGTGGATCTTGGGAAGGGTGACACGTTAAGGTCCATCCTGTATTAAATGTACCTTTCCTAAGGAGAGAGGTGAATGAAGAGAGGCGGAGTGATTACATAAGTGGTTGACGGTCTCAGAATTCCCTGACAGATTTGCCAAGGCCAGACTTAACCCATATTGTTCTTGGCCATGTCTGTGTGGAGCTGCTGTCCCCATTGAAGCCACCATGAGTGGCAGCCTCTTGTCTACTACTTTCAGACATGGTGATATAAACTAGGGTAGACAGCAGAGGGCAGGAATGAACAGGAGGCAAGTGGTGTGGCCCATAGCAACAATGCTGGAGCTGAGCCAGTGGGCAGAGAAGTAACTGGTTGTGTGAGCGCTGTATCCCTCAACCTGCTGTGTCCCTCTGCATGGAGCTGTACGGCCAGCACAGTTAGAGCCCTGACCTGTCTAACTGTTTGGTAGAGCCTTTTCAGCTTCACTTTAACCCATTCCATTCTTCATTTATTAAAGGCTTCAGTTGGAATGAGCCAGGCCCAAAGATTTACCTTTGGAGAAGAGAGATGAAGTCCTGGTAAGACTTCCTAGGTCTGTGTGAACCTGCTTGTCAAGGCTGAGCTGTCTCTGTCCACTTGTGGTTGATATTTCCAGAAACGACTGAATTCCTTTCTTCGCATTTGGAAGTGTAACTGTCCATCTGTGGTCTCGTGTTGGGATTGAAAAGCCAAACGTTTCTGCTGCTTCTCATTTCTCTAGGTCGCTTTTCTGTTGCAAAGCTGTTTTTCTCATCAGGTGGCGCCCATCTCCATCCATTGTCTTACCTTGCTTAGCAGAAAGTCTGTGCAATGCTAATGCCAGCGCCTTGCAGACTATGTTTAGCATTGCATAGTTTCAACGCATTGTTAAATATTTTATCTCATTATGTAATGTAGTCCTGGGCTGTTGCTTTTCCCCTGAGTGTATTTCCTCACCATTTGTGCCAACTTGAGTACTTTTCTTTTTTCTCCTGTCAGTTTTGAGTCTGCTATACAGAGCTTGCTCCCTCCGCCCCTTTCAATTTATTTCCTATGGGGCCTATAAGTGGTAAAGAAAAAGGCATATCTAAATGGTACTATTTTCTGATGGTAAAGTGAAAATAACCTAAATGCTCTTTAAGCCATCGTGAGAATTATGTCCCTTGGGAATATACTATGAGTAGAAGTACTAAAAACTTCTCTTCATGATTATACCTACTCCCTTTTTCTAAATTGGCAAAATATCTCCGAGAAATGGGGGGAACTGTGCAAGTTAGACCCATACTGTGTTTTTTGTTTGCTTGCTTTGTTTTTATTTTGTTTTGCTTATTGTTTTTGTGCTGATATTATTCATGCCCCAGTGGAGAAATAGGAATTTTATTAGCATCTGTTATTTTCTTGGACTTATATGGTTGTACAGAATATCACTTTTGAAATAAAAGGTGCGTTAGGTTAAAGCTTGTTAGATGGTTCTGGAACTGTGTCTCTAAGGCTTTCTTAAGAGCATTCTGGAAACTCCTTTAAGGTTCACTAAGGCAGACCAAGTTGTTCCCTGAACTCAGTTCTCATTACTCTCACATCCCATTTCATGGCTCCATCATTCCATCCCCAGATGCTGGGTGCACCACAGATGCATAGATTACTACTTGCAGTAATACAAACCATGGGACATCGAGGTTGAAAGAGACCGAGCAGGTTGCTGTAAGCTTATCTGATCTTTGCATTCCCTCCATGCCATCCTCAAGTGACCAGTGAGCCTCGGCCCATTCCATCCTAAGGCACTGGAAAAGTGTCCCTTTTCTTGATCCCAAATCTACCTCCCTTTTGTACAATTCAAAAGATATATAGTGCCTATCATGTACCTGGCACTGTTCTAGGGGCTGGAGATACAGAAGAGACATGGATAACTCATAGATAGCTCTATCACTTGAGGTCATAGAAGCAAGCCAAATAGTTCTTATCCATGGACACCCTACAGATACTTGAAGACTACACTTCTGTTCCTCTGAGTCCTCACTTGAAGCTAATATTCCCAGTCTATCCAATGTAATACAGTTCAAATTTTTTTGTCATGTGGATCAATTGTCTTTGGATGGCTTCTAGTTTGAATATTTAAAAATATATATTTTATTGATTTTTTACAGAGAGAAAGGGAGAGGAATAGAGAGTTAGAAACATCAATGAGAGAGAAACATCAATCAGCTATCTCCTGCACACACCCTACTGGGGATGTGCCCACAACCAAGGTACATGCCTTTGACCGGAATCGAACCTGGGACCTTTCAGTCTGCAGGCCGATGCTCTATTTATCCATTGAGCCAAACTGGTTTCAGCTAGTTTGAATATTTTTGTTTGTTTGTTTTGTTACTCCTCAGCTGAGGATATTTTTTCATTGATTTTTAGAGAGAGTGGAAAAGAGAGGGAAAGACAGAGAGAAACATCAATGTGAGAGAAACACATCGATTGGTTGCCTCCCACATGAGCCGTGACCTGGGCCCGGGCCGGGGAGGAGCCTGCAACCAGGGTATGTGCCCTTGATTGGTCCACAGACCGATCCTCTGTCCACTGAGCCGAACTGGCCAGGGCTGAATATTGAATTGATTTTTAATAGATTGATTTTTTTTAAGGTTTTTTGTTGTTGTTGTTGTTATAAAGGTAATATGCACTTGGAGACATTATAGAAAATAGATTAGTTTAAATAGGAAATCACATATATTTTCTTTTAGCTTTTTACTAACTTGTGTTTATAATTTTGTTCCATTTTCTTTACTTACCATTGACATTTTTGCATTCATTATATTCATAATAATTATTTAAATGCTTGCCTATTTCAGATAGATGTTCAATGGTTAAGTCATAAAGCAGTAGTAGGGATCTCTTATGTGAGCTAGCATGCTTCCTTTTCCTCAAGTCCGCAGTCTCCTAAGCCACTATCTTTGAGGACTACCAGTACTACACGGAAGGAAGGTGCTGGGCTATCCTGTCTCCTTGTGGGTTCTTCAACTGCGAATTATTCTTCATATGCTGCCTTTGTTTTCTGTTCGTTCCTTTGTGTTTCCTCCTCATCATGCTCTGCCCGTGTGTTTGGAGTATTGAGTTGACTGTAGCTTTCTTGTTACAACAGGATACTCAAGTGCCATTTCCAAGGCTGTCTTCCTGCTGGGTTCAGTCTTGAGGAGCCTGTTGGAGCCAGTTCTGGTGGGACTGGACGGCGGTAAGCACACGGCTCACTCTTCTCCTCCAATTGCAGGCCTACAGCTGAACCAGAAGGCACTCACCACCTTCCCGGATGTGGTGCTTGTCCGGGTGAACACCCCCTCGCTGCAGTCGGACAGCGACATCACCGTCCTGCGGCACCTGGAGAAGCTGGGCTGCCGCCTCGTCAACCGCCCGCAGAGCATCCTAAACTGCATCAACAAGTTCTGGACCTTCCAGGAGCTGGCTGGACACGGGGTCCCCATGCCAGACACCTTCTCCTACGGTGAGTGTCCTTGAAATAGGGTTGAAGTTTATCTTTTCCAGTCGCATCTGTGTGTTTCCTCTCCCCAGTAGCCCTCGAGTGGCTTACTGGTTTTCAATATGGAGCTGTTCATCTTAGAGGATTCCACAACTTGAGTCTGTCGTGGTCATTCCCCCTGGCTGAAATGCCTTTGCTTCTTTCTGTCTGTAATCCACACTTTAAATATGTATCTGGCATACACTATGTGCCAACCATCATACTAGCGCTGGACTATAGCAGCAAGGAAACATCCTACTCTCAAGGCATTGCCAGGTCTTCAGAGGCAGAGACGGCAAGTAGTGCCGTGCAGAGTAGTAATGCCATGATAAGAGTTAGTGCAAGGTGGTGAGGGAATACATAGGAGAACTCCTAATGAGTTTAGAAGATATTGAGGAAGGTTTCCCAAAAGAAATAGGATTTAAACTAAACTGAAGTTATCCAGGTAAACCAAGGTGCGGTGGGGGCAGGGAAGTACTCTATGCTGAGAGAAGAATATAGAAAGACCTAGAGGCAAGAGAGAGCATGACCAATTGGTGGTATTTTGAGTAGCTTGTAGGATGTAAGGGAGACTCAGTTGAGATATAAGGCTAGAAAGATAAGTAGCCATATACAGTATGTGAAGGAGATTAGATCTAATCTTAAGACTAACCAAAAGTTAATGGGCTTTAAGCAAGAAAGTGGCCTGATCAGAGTTCAGAATATCGCTTTGGCTACTCTAGGAAGAAGGAATTAGGCAAAGAAAAGTGGAGACAAGATATGTAATAGCAGACTTTTTTAAACCATTCAAAAGAGCAATGATGGTCTAAACAAAAGTGGCCATAGTATGAAGGAAGATAAGTCAACAGATTCGGGAATTATGAAGGAGAAAGAAATAATGGGACATAGTGATTGGTTGGATACGAAGGCTATGGAGAGGAGTCAGAGAGTGACTGGTTTCTGGTTTGGGCAACCAGATGTGATAGCAAACACTGAGACTAGAAACATAGAAGAGAAGACGCAGATTGGTAGGTAGGAGGAGAGCGGTTGGAGGGAGAGATGATTTCAGTTTGAGATGTGTTCTGTTTGAGCCGTCTAGTATATGCAAGTAAAAATATTCAATAAGCAGCAGAAAATGGATCTGGAGCTCCTGAGAGAGGTGTAGATTGGGGAAGTGGAATTGGAAGCTTTACTATATTAAGTGAAGTCACAAGATTGGATGGGCTTACTCAGGGGGAATTTGTAGAACTAAGAGAGCTGAACCGTATACCTAAAATGGCTAAAAAAAAAAAGCCCTGCCAGCATAGCTCAGTGGTTGAGCATTGACCTATGAACCAGGAGGTCACGGTTCAATTTCCAGTTAGGGCACATGGCCAGGTTGCAAGCTCGGTCCCCAGTATGGGTATGTAGGAGGCAGCCAATCAATGATTCTCTCTCATCATTAATGTTTCTTTCCCTTCCTTCCTCTCTGAAATCAATAAAACTATATTTAAAAAAAAATAATAAAATGGTTAAAAAGATAACTTTTATGTTATGTATATTTTACCACAATAAAAAAATAAAAGAGAGGGTTCAAGGGGAACTCCTTTAGGGAATGGGTAAAGGAAAAGGAACCTGTACAAGAGACTAAGCAGGAGCAGCTGGAAAGGTGAGACGAGAAAGAGAGATGACAGAAGCCAGTGGGAAGAGCAGTCCAGGAAGGCTGGCATAATGAAAAGTGTTGATTGATCGGTCTGAAAGGTTTCGTAAGCACTGAGATATGTGTTGGATTTAGCAACAGGGAGTTTAATGAATACAGCTTCAGTTCAGTGATGAAGAGAGAAGCCAAATTGTCAAGGACGAGGAAATGAATGGGAAGTGAAGCAATGGAAACCCTCTCAAATACTTAATTGTAAGGATATGAAGTCACAGGTAAGGAATGAGGCAGGGTCAAAGGACATGGGGGTTATTTGTTTAAGATGGGAGAGAACTGAGTATGTTTAAAATGGTGATGGGAGCCAAAACCGGTTTGGCTCAGTGGTAGAGAGTCGGTCTGCAGACTGAAAGGTCCCAAGTTTGATTCCGGTCAAGGGCATGTACCTCTTGCACACCCGGTACGGGGGCTGTGCAAGAGGCAGCTGGTTGATGTTTCTCTCTCATCGATGTTTCTAGCTCTCTATCCCTCTCTCCTCCTCTCTGTAAAAAATCAATAAAATATATTTAAAAATAAATAAATAAATAAATAAATAAATAAATAAATAAAATAAAATGGTGATGGGATTAAGAACTGGGAGGTTGAAGATACAGTAGAGAGGAGACACTTCTTTGTGCAAGGTCCCTGAGAAGGTGAAAGGGAAAGGGGTCCAAAGCACAGGTGCAGCCTGGCTGGTGTGGCTCAGTGGTTGAGCATCAACCTATGTAACAGGAGGTCATGGTTCAATTTTCGGTTAGGGCACATGCCTGGGTTGCAGGCTCAATCCCCAGTAGGAGGCATGCCGGAGGCAGCTGATCGATGATTCTCTCTCATCATTGATGTTTCTATCTCTCTTCCTCTCTGAAATCAATAAAATTATTTTTTTTAAAAAAAGCACAGGTGCAGGGATGGCCTGAGAGAAGATTCCTCTTTCACTGTATTAGAAGGGAGAAAAGAGGATAGCTAGAGAGGAGTTGAATTTATCAGCAGGTCTCAGGAAGTTGTGAGTTACCTTCTTAAAAAACATCCTCTTCTGAAGACGTCCCAAATTATCTGCAGTGCCTCTTCATGTAAAAAAAAATTATTAGCACTTTTGTGAACAAAACAGGTATTAGTTCTCCAATTTGCAAAATTTGCTGAACTGCAATACCACCTGCAGTAGGCAGAATAGAGATCCCACAAAAATGCAAATGTGGAATTGAGCCCCAACCCATGCCCAGGTGTGGGCTTGATCCCCAGTAGGGTGCATGCAGGAAGCAGCCAATCAATGTCTCTCTCTCTCACATCAATGTTTCTCGCTCTCCCTCTCCCTTCCTGTCTCTCTAAAATCAATAAAAACATACTTTTTAAAAAAAAAAAAAATGTAAATGTGTAGGAAATCAATCAAGTTTGTAAACACATCTTAGAAAGATTTTAATACACATATTATTCATGTTTTTTAAATTAAGAATTAAAGGAGTATAGTAGAGCCAGTTTAGGCTTCCAAGTCATGCCTTAACCTTGGATGAGATAAATCCCCAGGCTTAGTATCTTTGGTTATTGATTTTCTATTGCTATATAACAAGCTACTAAAAACTTAGCAGCTTAAAATAACACCCATTTATTTCCTCACAGTTTTTGAAAGTCAGAAGTCCAGCCACAGCATAGCTGGGGTCTTTGCTCTGGTTTTACCAGGCTGAAATCAAGGGGTAGCTGGCTTGTGATTTCACCCGAGGCCTGGATCTTCCAATCTCACTGGTTGTTGGCATTTATTTCCTTGTAGTTGTAGGGACTGATGTCCCCACTTTTTTTTTTTTTTTTTAAATATATTTTATTGATTTTTTACAGAGAGGAAGAGAAAGGGATAGAGTTAGAAACATCGATGAGAGAGAATCATCAATCAGCTGCCTCTTGCACACCTCCCACTGGGGATGAGCCCACAACCAAGGTACATGCCCTTGATGGAATCGAACCTGGGACCTTTCAGTCTGCAGGCCGACTCTCTACCCACTGAGCCAAACCCATTTTGGCGGACCCCACTTTCTTGCTGGCTACCAACTGGGGGCCATCTTCAGCTCCCAGAATTGCCCACTGTCACCACTGCATGGCCTTCTGCTCTACAACATGGCAGTTTGCTCCTTCAAGGCCAGCAAGAAAGTCTCTCCGACACCTCACATTCTTCTGAAGGGCTCACCTGATTAGGTCAGGCCCACCATGAGTCCTCCCATCTTGGTTAACTCAAAGTAGTAGACCTAATCACCGGAATGATACCCCATCATATTTGCTGGCCCCTCCCACACTCCAGGGAGAGGACTGACAAGGTGTGTCCACCAGCAGGTAGGAATCTTCAGAGCCATCTTAGAGTCTAACCTCAGGCAGCCGTTCTCAAGGGAAAAATATCTGCCCATCCCATGGGACTGTGATGGGGATTGCACACACAAGAGCCTGGGAAGCCTTTGCCGCATGGAAAGGCTTCGATAAATATCCCTGCGCCCTCCTCTTACGTTACAGGTGCGCAGTGCGTGTGTGGCGGAGAGGCAGGAGGCCTTGGAAGAATTCCCCCAGAGGGTGCTGTGCTGCGCTCACCGCTCCCCGGCCATCAGCCTTCCCTTCACTGACTCTCACCTTTTCTCGGCAGGTGGGCATGAAGACTTTTCAAAAATGATCGATGAAGCCGAGCCCCTGGGCTACCCGGTGGTGGTGAAGAGCACACGAGGACACCAGGGTCAGTGCTGCTCCCGCACTTCCTTTGGGCCAAAGCGCTGCCACGCAAGACCCTCCTTAGGTGGAGTGGGAGCACCGCCGGGAGCAACTGAGCTCCCCTGGAGGAGCTTGCCGTGTAGTCCTTACCTCTGTCCCCTCCTCTCTGCCCCCACCCTTCCCCGATGATGGTGACAGGCCCTTGAGTTGACTCTGGTTTCCCCAACTCCACTGAAGTTCATCCTCTATTCTTTTTGGAGAGTCACTTTCTGAGGCAGGTTATTCTTCTTCTTCTTCTTTTTTTTTTTTTTTTTTTTAATATATTTTATTGATTTTTTTACAGAGAGGAAGAGAGAGGGATAGAGAGTTAGAAACATCGATGAGAGAGAATCATCGACCAGCTGCCTCTTGCACACCCCCTACTGGGGATGTGCCTGCCACCAAGGTGCATGCCCTTGACCGGAATCGAACCTGGGACCTTTCAGTCCACAGGCCGACGCTCTATCCACTGAGACAAACCGGTTTCGGCAAGAGACAGGTTATTCTTATCATTCTCTTTTGAAAAACCCTCTCAACAGCCTGTGCTGCCTGTTAGACAAAGTCCGTATTCCTGCCCATGGCACGGAAGGCCCTGGGCAAAGACCCTCATCTTCCTTTGCAGCTTCTCTGGTCCCGGGACCCTCCCACATCCATTCCGACTACTCCTCTTTCACCCACGCCACGTGGCTTCCTCTCGGAAACCTCTGCTGGGAATGCCGTCTTCCTCCGTCCTCTGGTGAACTTCCGCTCATCCTTTAAGGACAGCTCCACCCGTCATTGTCTTTCCCTCCACATCCCTGGCCTCTCTCCCGCCCTTACAAAAATTAATTGCCGTCCCCTTTGTGTTTCCATAGCACTTTGTCCATGATTCTAGCTCTGAACTACACTGGATGACAGTTACAGGGTATATGCCTTTTCCCCCTTTTCCATTGTGAGTTGCTCAGGTCCTGTGATTCTCTGTCTCTGTAAGACCTACTATGTGCTCAGTACACAGTAGGAGTCAGTAAATGTTGAAGAGGGTGGATGCAGCAGCAACCAATCGTCCTGCAGGATGTGAGTGGGTACCCAGATGGCATACATAAATGCCCAGGGCATCTGGAGTGAGAGGAGGTATACTCAACAGGTATGCATTGAGCAATTCCTGTGATGCAGGGACCGTGCAGTAGACAGTCACCTTTCAAGGATCTCAGTGTGAAGAGAGGAGAGACAGTTGTGTTGCAAGGTATGCTGCTGCAGCACGCATATCCAGGCGCCTGTTGAGGAGCTTGAGCCGAACAGAGGGCGGGCCAGCTCTGCGGTGAGGCAGTGAAGGCGTCATTTAAGTAAAAGGAGACTTAAGGTGACAAGTGGAATGTGAACGGGAGGAAGTGAGTTGAGCAAACAAAGAGCAGCAGGTGTGAGCAAAGCAACCTGTGAGTCTAGAGGGGGCCTGTTGAGGAGCAGGAACAGTGAGTGTGGGTGGCAAGGTGGGGCTCCTGCCACTATTCAGATATGGTACACGGCTAACATGCAATGTCTCTCAGCTAGTTGTTGCTTTTGAATCATATATGACTCAAATATGAGTCATATTTGAATTATTTATTCTAACACTGCCAGCAGTATGGGAAAGCAGCAGGTCATCCACAAAAAAATCTGCTCTGCAGCCCCCATAGACCAGCTGCTTATAGAGGGCAAGACAAAGATTACGTGGGAAATATGGACTATAGGTGTGGGGAAATAGGGGTTACAGGCATAAGGAAGTAAGCTGGGGTGGGACACCATTGTTTGGGCGACAAGGTTGTTAATCTTTCCAAGTGAAAGGACTGCATTCCAAGGTTGACTCCCAGGTCCAGGGTTGACTCCCAAGTCCAAGATTGACTCCCAGCCAGGTCTGAATTTAACCAACACAAGGCAATCATGGTTACCAGAGCATGATTAATATTTCCCATAATCATGGCTAGCCCCCAATATTCTACTCTTGCCCTAACATTTCCCCACTGCTGTTTCTATCAGCTCATATCTATGAGATTCTTTTTTGGTGAAAAGTCTCATCCTGCTGCTGGACTGCATCTGCTTCTGCCTTGAAAGCAGTTCCCAGAGATGGAGTACCCCAAATGCAGGATCTGGGATATGTTTTCTAGCAACTGAGAATTGTCAGGAAGATGAAAACAGCACATTCCTTTAAATTCTTTACAACCGTGGTGATGCTGTAGCAGCAAATAACCTATTACTGCCCGATTTTCCAGAACTGCCTCTCTGACCTGGCTCAGCTCTTGATTTATCCCATGGATAGCCCTGGAGGTGGCACTAGGGCTTTTACCCTGCTACAAGCCAGCAGGGTCACGTCTACATTAAGGGAGCCTACCATTACCAGCAGAACGAAAGTGGTCAAAGCAATAGAGCCAACAGGACTCCGCAGGTGGAGAGCGTCATTGCAGTCTGGGGCCACGGCCTTGAGAAAGTCTCTTTGGTTCAGACCCTGTCTGAGGCATAAAGACAGCCTGCCATCCTAAGGAACAGGGTTCCCGGTGCTGTTAGCAGGGATAAATAGTTGCCCCACATATCAGAAACCAACCAGCCAGCAGCCTGGTATGTCCATTACTATAGCAAAATTATCAGAATAACTAATATAGTTATTAGCTACTGAAAGATAATAACTAGAACACTCAGTAACGGTCAGACATTTTCCACAGGGAACTACTGCAGTCATCTTTACAGGAAACATCACTGCATCCTTTTCCCTGACAGTGGGTTCCAACATACAAAGATCCCTGTATGTGACTTCCCAAAATGGATGGAGTAATTCCATAAATTAGAAATAGGTGTCCCAACTCCTCAGCAAATGTAAAAGGTCAGCTCTACACCAGTTCCTCCATTGCCAGCTTCAGGGCAGTCGGAGTGGTTGGTGGAAGTGCATCTCAGGGTCCCGTCCATTTCTCCTCCAATTGGCCCATCGTCCTTGCTCTGCTCACGTTTGTTTAACTACCTATCACATCCCCCAAGGCTCTTGGCGTCTTGGCTCTGAATTCTGTCACAGAAAAGGGGGCGCAGGGTGTCTTCTGTAACTGCTTCATGCTGAGGAGGGATGAAGTTTTTCCTTCAGAGCCAAGAGATCCTTGCTCTCTGTCAGAGGGCTGATGCAGCCTGGTCACAGGTCACAGAAGGAGGTGGCGATGGTGTCTAGAGGTGGTATTCCCTGAGTCCAAGTAGGGCTTGTAACCTGGTGGAGACAAACTGTGTCATAAAATTTAGTATTGGGCAAAAGTTAGAACAGCAAGAATACACTAGTGGAAGGAAAAACATTTCAGTTTTGATAATTCCCTATTGAAACACAATTTTTTTCCCTCTCCCTAAAATCACCCTCATTTTTATTAAAGAGCCAACTTAAGACCAATTTATTTTGTATAGTTATGATTTGGACTAATTGTTTGCATGAATATAATAAGAATAACATTAACTAGTTGTTGTTTTTAATTGTAGATATATATATTAAAATTCAACTATTTATTGAGTGCTTACAAAGTGCCAGGCATTTCATATTCTAGATACAGAAAGGAACAAAACAAAAATTCCTGCCCTCAGCGAGCTCACATTGTAGAAAGGTATGACAGACAATGACAAGTTAAATGGAAGAATCCTGGCCAGGTAGCTTAGTTGGTTAGAGTGTGATGTGAGAGTGAACAGGGATTGAGCCTTGCAACCTGGGCATGTGCCCTGACTGGAAATTGAATCAGCAACCTTTCAGAGCACAGGACAATGTTCAATCAATTGAACCATATTGTGGTTTTTATTTATGTTTCCCTAATGATATTGAACATCTTTTTATGTGCTTATTGGCCATTTGTATGTCTTCTTTATATATTTATATATTTATATATATTTTTAATTGATTTCAGAGATTGGAAGGGAGAGGGAGAGATAGAAACATCAATGATGAGAATCGTTGATCATTTACCTCCTGCACAACCCCTACTGGGGATCCAGCCTACAATCCTGGCATGTACCCTGATGGGGAATCGAACCAGTGACCTCTTGGTTCATAGGTCAATGCTCAACCACTGAACCACACTAGCCAGACTGTATACCTTCTTTGGAGAAATGTCTGTTCACATCCTTTGCCCATTTTTCAATTGTATTATTTGCCTTTTTATTGTTGAATTTTTAGGATTTATTTATGTACTCTGGTTATTATACCCTTATCAGACATATAATTTAAACATTTTTTTCTACTCTTTAGGTTGTCTTTTCACTTTCTTGATAATGCCCTTTGATCCACAAAATTTTTTGATTTTGATGAAATTCAGTCTATTTTTTTCCTTTGGTTACTTGTGTTTTTGATATCATTTTATACTTGCTTAATCTAAAGTCACACAAATTTATACCTATGTGTCCTTTTAAATGTTTTAACCCTTACACTTAGTTGTTTTTGTTTTTTGTTTTTTACCCATTTTGAGATCAGTTTTGTATATGGTGTAATGTAGAAGTTCAACTTCATTCTGTTGTGTGTGGATGGCCATTTTTTCCAGTATCATTTGTTGAATAAACCGTTCATGAAACTCTTGTCAAAAGTCAGTTGACCATCTGTGTGAGGGTTTATTCTGAGCTCTCAATTCTTTTACATTGACCTATATGTCCATGTTTATAACAGGCCACACCTCTTGATTACTGTAACTTTATAATAAGGTTTGAAATTGGGAAATGTGAATCTCCAACTTTGTCCTTCTTTTTCTTTTCTTCTTTTTTTTAATCAATTTTTATTGTTCATATTATTACAAAGGTTCCTCATTTCTTCCCCTCTCCACCAGGTTCCCACCCCACCCTCTGCCCCCTCCCCATCCCCCATTGTCCTCATCCATAGGTGCACAGTTTATGTTCAGTCTCTTCCTCCCTCCCTTTCCCCGATAGTAAATCCCTTTTCAGATAGTAAATCAGTTACTTAGCATTTTCTTATATCAATAATACCTCCATATGCCCAATGATACACTTCACACAAAAGACATTTCCCAATAGGTCCACCAGCCTCATCCAGGCCCCACCCAAGGCACTCACAGATCAACACCCCAGCCCTATACTAACTCAACACATCCAGATCTAAGCCTTCATCACTTGATTCAGCAGACCCTCAAGTTCCCGCAAAAGTTTCCAGCCATGTCTGAGAGGCAGCCTGTCCTTCTTTTTCAATATTGTGTTAGCAGTTGGGGTCTCTTGCATATGAATTTAAGGATCACTTGTCAATTTCTACAGAAAAGGAAATTGTCATTTTGGTAGGAAATGCATTGAATCTGTCAATCAACCTGAAGTGTATTGCCATCTCAATATTAAGTCTTTCAGCTCTGGCTGGTTTGCTCAGTGGATAGAGTGTCAACCTGCAGACCAAAAGGTCCCAGGTTCGATTCCAGACCAGGGCACATGCCTGAGTTTCAGGCTTGATCCCCAGTAGGGGGTGTGCAGGAGGCAACTGATCAATGATTCTCTCTCGTCATTGGTGTTTCTGTTTCTCACCCTTTCCCTTCCTCTCTGAAACCAATAAAAATGTATTTTTTTAAAAAAAGTATTTAAATCACTGAAAAGTGGGATGTCTTTGGAAATGTTTTATAGTTTCCAGTGTTTAAGTATTATACTTATTTTATGAAATATATTCCTGAATGTGTTATCCCTTTCAATACTATTGTAAATAGAATTGTGTTCTTAATTTGATTTTCAGATTGCTCAATGCTAGTGTAACACATATTATCTTATGGAAAATGAATAAGGAATAAACAAAGTCAAAGCAATTTTTAGACTCTAGAATATGGAAATAAATTTACAGAAGGCAGTGGACCGATGTATCCTGTGCCTTTGAGAAGGTGACTAATCTTATAGATCCTCATTTTCTTCATGTATAAAGCAAAAATAGCTATCTTTGTCCTCATGGTTTCACAAGGCTAATATGAAGGATAAATGAAACAATAAAAAAAGAATTTGGCACATCATAGATTATTAACTCATCTTAGTGCCCTTCCCTCGCCTCTCATTTTTCCTCCTTGCCTTAAATCTGTAGCTGTTTTATTGACCGAAGACTAAGCCCATGTTAGAAACTCAGCACCAAAAGCCGAGGAACAAGTCTCTGTCTCTAGCTCCATCTCTGCTAAAAATCCTAGCTAAGGTCCAGAGAACCCCCAGTGCCTACAGCTCAGTCCAAGCCCTCAGATCTCCTGATGCCAAATGTCCAGTGTTTTGGAGACATATTTCCAACCTTTTACACGGTGAGAGGCTGATGCCCATCACTCTTTCTGAAGACTTCAGAAAGATGATCTTTCTTTTAAGACACAAATCTTAGGCAAACCATCCCTTATTTGCTAACAAGAATGCTCAGATTGGGTGTGCTCATGTCAGATCTGCAGAGCAAACCTATCAGAAACCCCTGGCAGATGTATTAGCTGATATGCAAAGGAAAAGCAGATGCCAGATAACTGTAAAAGCATTGGTCAGTCAAGCAGAAAATAAAGAATTTGGAGTCAAAAAGAAATGCTTTCCCAAGAGAAACAGCAGTATCGATCATTCCTTTTAGAATTAATAGGTGTTGCCAAATAATAAGTTTATTATATTTAAAAAGAAGTAGAATGTCTGTCAGCGGCTCACTTTTTGAACATTTTAGTATTTTTCATAGACCTCAGTGAGAAGTCATGCAGTGCTATACTTACCTTTTTTGGATCTCTCTCCATCTATTTTAGAACTCTTCTAAAGTATGTTCAATCAGTTACGTTCTGCTTTGTGCCTCAAGTTCAGTATGAAGTTAGGGCGATTTTTAAACAATGAGTTAGACATGGACCTTGCCTAATCCACATCCTCAGGGTGATAAGAGAAGGTAATAACTGTTTTGGAACCAAGTTAACTTGATCCTTAGAATTTCATTTTGACCCCTTCTCTATATTTCCGAAATACATTATTATTTCATTTTTATAAGCGTGGTGGTATAGGGAGACAGTCAACATTGTTAAGATCTGAGCAAAATCAAGAGAAAATAAAGTTCAGTAGCCATTTGATAAGAAGCAAAAGTCTATTCAGAAGTAGAAGAGACCAAAGTGAGGCAAGTTCAGGAAGCACTGGTGACTGTATCAGTCGGGCGGGCGACGGGATGGCCAGGACAGGGTTCAGAGGCTGCTGTAACTCCTCTTGTTGTCTTTCTTCTTAAAGGGAAGGCTGTTTTCCTTGCAAGAGATAAACATCACCTCTCAGACATCTGCCACCTCATCCGCCATGACGTGCCCTACCTGTTCCAGAAGTACGTGAAGGAATCCCATGGAAAAGACATCCGGGTGGTGGTGGTCGGGGGCCAGGTGATAGGCTCTATGCTTCGCTGCTCCACAGACGGACGGATGCAGAGCAACTGCTCCCTCGGTAAGGCGCAAGGCCTCAGAGTCTGTGTGTTGGTTATAGGAGGCCCCCAGGAGTTTCCATTAGGATGCATAGACCCATTTAGTAAATGTGTACCTGTCCCTCCTCGCTAGTCAGATCCTGGCTTGGTGCCAGGATCAACAGCTAAGAATTAGAAATAAGCCCTTGCCTTTAGCAGCCAGCAGCCCAGCAGGGGGACAGTGACAGAGGTCAGGCCAGAGGTGTCAGGACACTGAGGTTTGAACCCTATATTATAGGTGTTGGGACTTAGCGGTTAGGTCTACACAAGGGAGTGACACGAGGCTCCGTGTTTGAGAAACTGACATCTGGGTAGAGGATGGATTGGAGGCAAGGAGGAATGTGGAAGCTGCTACAACAGCTCAGGCAATAAATAGTGAGGGTCTAAACGAAGGCAATGACGTGACACAGCAAATTCTGCTTTTATGTTACAATTGAAAGTTGTGTTTTTCTTATATGTATGATGTTATTAAAAAGCTAGAGTTTATATTTGGGTCACATGCAGAACCCCAGCCCATGAACCTGTTTGATAAAGCTTGTTTTCGGGAGTGGTGAATGAAGATGACCCAGAAGGCTATCAATTCTTGTCCCCAACACAGAAAGCTATTGTCCATCTCATTAAATGAATTTTCATGTTGGTAACATGAAAAAGTATTACAGTTATTGTTTCCTAAATCACCAGATGAGTGTCCCAAGTCTAATGACTAAGAAAGAGACATTGATTTTGTCTTTCCTTCATTGATACTGGCTGAGCAGTTTCCATGAGCGGACTCTGGTAGATATTGAGAATGTATCGATTAATGAGAAGAATCCTTTCCCTCCCCATGGCTATGGTCCAGTAAAGGAGAAGACACATAAAGAAATCATTGTAAGATAATGTGATAAAGCAATATAATAGCAGCGAAATCTAGGCTCAGGTTGAGAACAAAGTACTAAGTATCTAATATATTATCTCATTTAATTTTCATGCTAATAAGTGCAGTGCAACAGTATTGAAACTTATGTGTTATTGTCTTTTTTTTTAAATATGTTTTTATTGGTTTTAGAGAGAAAGGTAGAGAGAGGGAGAGGAAGATCGATCAGCTGCCTCTTGCACATCCACTGCTGGGAACTGAGCCCACAATGTGGGCGTGTGCCATGACTAGGCATCATACCAGCGACCTCTTGGTGCATGGTATGATGCTCATCCAACTGAGCCACACCGGCCAGGGCTGTTTTGTCTTTTTTAGTTTCTAACAAGGAATTGCATGGTTTTTTAATTTACCCACATTGCTTTTCCTGCTGAGCTGTGTTTACAGCCTTTTCTTATACAGTGGGGAAAGGACAGTGGTAAGGTAAAGATATTAGTTATTGGACCTGAGAATTCAAGTCATAAGTCTTTCTAGGGAAACTAAGGGAGACAATTAAATTGGAAGTTTTAGCTTTTTAACAAATAAGAGCAATCAGAGTCTTTCTGTCCTTGGTATAGGATTTTGTCTCACAGCCTCTCCATCTCTCTCTCTCTACTTAAAAAAATAATAAATTAATTCTAATTATACAAGGAGTACATTCTCAATGTAGAAAACCTGGAAAATATAGCAAAGTCAAATGAAAAGATATTTATCATTAATCTCACCATCTAGAGACAACCAATGTTAACATCTACACGACCTAAACAACCGGTCACCAGGAAGTGTATGGGGACCTGCAGCCCATAGGTTCCTATCACAGCAAGGCTGGCAGCCGGTGGGTAGGTGGGTGGTGGAAGGGGAAGTGGGGGAGGGGGGGTGGCGTGTGTGTGAGGTTGTTAGCCTCCAGTCTGGGGCCAGGCCAGAGGCCTAATGACCTCACTGCTACCTAGTTTTGGTATAATTTCTATCTTTTTTTTCTAATAATATCATTTTGCATGGTTATACTGCTCAGTCTTTAATCCTACATATTTTTCAATGGGATCACAAGCTCTCTATGAGCTTATTATTTTTATGAGCTTATTAATGATTATAAAATATGTTGTTTTCCTCTATTGTGAGCTACTTAGATTATAATTTTTCATTTATTCATCAACAAACATTTATTATTGAATACCCACAATGTTCCACGCACAATGATTTTTCAATATTTTTAAATAACTCTGACATCAACATCTGTCTGCATCAAGCCTTTTCTCTGTTACATAAGACTATTTTCTAAGTAGTGGAATGACTGAGTCCGAGGGTATATGCATTTTTAAGACTTTAGATAAGAAACGACCACATTGTTTTCCTGGTTTCCTTCTAGACCTTTTGTGAGTTATGAAAATGCCCTGCTCACTGTCCTTCCTCAGCACTCCCCCCCCCCCTCCTCAAAGGGTCATTTGAATTGCTAGTCAGTGTCTGATGCCAGCGTTACATGCGCTGTGTTTTCCCTACAGGTGGTGTGGGTGTCATGTGCCCACTGACAGAGCAAGGCAAGCAATTGGCTATTCAGGTGTCCAATATCCTGGGCATGGACTTCTGTGGCATTGATCTCCTCATCATGGACGATGGCTCCTTTGTGGTGTGTGAGGCAAACGCCAACGTTGGTTTCCTCGCCTTCGACCAGGCTTGCAACTTAGACGTGGGTGCGATCATTGCAGACTATGCCGTGTCCTTGCTGCCAAACATGCAGACTGGGAAGATGGCCGTCCTCCCAGGCCTGTCCAGTCCCAGGGAGAAGAGCGAGCCAGATGGCTGTGCGGCAGCTCGAGGCGTTGCAGAGAGCATCTACACCATCAACAACGGGTCTACCTCCAGTGAGAGTGAGCCGGAACTGGGAGAGGTCCGGGGTCCCTCAGCCAGCACAACAGGGCCCCCGCCCCCTATGCTGCCCGAGCCCAGCTACAACATTAACAATAGGATTGCTTCCGAATTAAAACTGAAGTGAATCCCTGCTTTTGTTGGCAGTCTTTAAACCAAATCCTACTGCTTCCCTAGTAGTTTTGAATGAATAAAATCTGAACTAATGCGATTTCATTTGCACAGAAACTAGAAATCCCATCTGGGCACTCGACATTCTTCCTAACGATGATTTAAGCAAATGGCCTAGCATTGTGGTTTTTACAAAGATAATGTGAAAACGCTCGCCAGGAACAGCATCCCGACTGATCCATTTGAGACCGAGGTCTGCTGCGAGCACTTGGATATCCCGAATGATTTGAGGCCCTGACTCTGTGCTGCTGCTGGCTTTCAGCAATGGAGCCCATTAACTCGGAAAAGCTCCTGGCAATACTTGACTCAAAAGCAACCACCGGATGGAGGCGTGGGCAAAAGAGGTGGAATGTGGCTTCAGTTATGTGCTTTCAGTGTGTGTGTGTGTGTGTGTGTGTGTGTGTGTGTGTGTGTGTGTGTGTGTGTGAGAGAGAGAGAGAGAGAGAGAGAGAGAGAGAGAGAGAGAGAGAGAGATGCTTGGAGAATACATAGTTCAAATAATGGTCGAGCATTGATCTCTGCTCCCCCACCATCACCATCTTGACCATATTTCTCTGACACTCAGGATATGGTGTTCCAGGGAGCTTCCTCATTAGCATTTTCCATGAAGCACTTTGCAGAAAGTAAATTCACTGGTTGGCAAATGCCCTGCTCTGTACCTGTGGCATTCTACAAGTGCTTTGCCACCTCGCATCTACACACTGCTTCAACTAACGCCAGCCCCAGCAGCCTCTTGCACCTTTGCTGCCTTTGGCCTCCGCTGGAAATGCAACGGAATGAGCTAGTGGCCACACACTTTGTTTCTTAGGCATGCACTAGAACCAAACACCAGGGACTCTCTTCAGTGGACGATTTCCACCTGTCATCCCAAAGCCATTGGTTTATATCCTGGAAAGCTATTGGACAATAATCCCTTTCCCCACCCCCCCCTCTACTGGAACTTGGTGTACTGCTTAGCTGTAGGAGGTTTTCTTGTATGAGTTGCTATGTGGACCTGTTAGGTAGATAGAGCCATTGGAAAGACGCTCCAATCCCTTTGACATTCTAGTATTATCCAGGTTCCAGAGACCTGACCTTACCCACCTTTCCAAACTGGGGAGATGCAGGTAACGGGACTTACTCATTGACTATTTTGGGGGAGTTGGATAATGTAGACATGACCCCAAGTGCTTCTCATTTCAACTCTTCAAGCAGCAGCTGGTGAGCCTTTCCTTGGGAAGTCATAGAAAGGGGATGTTCCACTTCTGCTCCGTGGAGTATGACTGAAAATGGGCAAGGCTACATTTTAACCAAATACACCAAAACAGGCACTCATGAGTTATCATAATCAGGGTTATTTCCTTGGAGACCATACTCTTTTAAAATATATTTTTTTTATTGATTTTTTTACAGAGAGGAAGGGAGAGGGATAGAGAGTCGAGAGAGAGAGAAACATCGATGAGAGAGAAACATCGATCAGCTGCCTCCTGCACACCCCACACTGGGGATGTGCCCACAACCAAGGTACATGCTCTTGACTGGAAGTGAACCCAGGACCCTTCAGTCCACAGGCCAACGCTCTATCCACTGAGCCAAACTGGTTAGGGCAATCCTCTTAAGCTGTGATGTTGCACGTGCCAAGAACACATAGAATTCCTGTTTGGATTTATCATTGAAACCATGCAAGGAAGGAGGGCTCGCAACCTATAGTCAGGTCTTGTTTTGTGTGTTGTTTTTGTTGTTAATCCTCATTCGAGGTTTTGGGTTTTTATCCATTGATTTTTTTATTTTTATTTATTTATTTATTTATTTTAGGGAGACTGGAAGGGAGGGGAAGAGACACAGAGAAACATCAATGTAGAGAGACACTTCAATTGGTTGCCTCCCACACACACCTTGACCAAGTTTGGTTTGAGCCTGCAACCAAGGAACATGCTTTGACCAGAATCAAACCCAATACCCTTCATTCCCTGGGGCAACGCTGTAACCACTGAGAAAACAAACAGCTAGGGCAGGTCTTATTTTTTACATCACCCCTCCCCAGAGGTAGTCCACACTCCATCACCCATTTTATTTATTGGACTTCTAATGCTCTTTGGCTATTAAAAAATAACCATTTCTTGAAAAATAAATCTGTCCTTTAAGGACAGAGACTTCAAAGCATTGAGGAAAGTTTATAAGGAGACGGTTTCCAAAGGCTGTTCTGGAAATATACTGAGGAAGGTCAGCTTCACTAGACTAAGCACACATCTTCCCAAGGTGACCACTTTAAAGGCAACAACGCCCACTTGGGTGTATAAACTCCTGTACTCCTGCTGTAAATGCAACATGTGCATAAGGTCAAACAATTCCATTTTTCTCACAACATTTAAATAGAAATTGGCGTTTAAAATACTGTGACTAAAATCAGATTTCACTAAGTATCAGTTGTACTGATTGGAAAATCTTTTTAAAAAATATATTTTATTGATTTTTTTACAGAGAGGAAGGGAGAGGGATAGAGAGCTAGAAACATCGAAGAGAGAGAAACATCGACCAGCTGCCTCTTTCACATCCCCCACCGGGGATGTGCCCGCAACCAATGTACATGCCCTTGACCGGAATCAAACGTGGAACCCTTCAGTCCGCAGACCAATGCTCTATCCACTGAGCCAAACCGGTTTCAGCCGATTGCACAGTCTTTAGCACCATGTAATGGAGATGTACCCTACACAGTTGTAGTCTAAATGCAGTCCCATGTGGGGTGCATGCCCCTAAACTGTAACCTTAGTAATGTGTCCTTTACAGTTGAAAATAGAGTACTTCACCTGTACATGAGTAACAACATGTACCTTATGTTTACCACTCAGGGTAGGTTTAGAAGGATAGTTCTAGGTCTGTTCTCCCTGCAATTGGACAGATGCTTCCTTTGTAAACATTGGAACCAAGTGAGTTACATTTCACTCATTCTCAGTGTTTTGTATAAGCCCAGTCTTCCCACTTTTCTAAAGCATGCTCGTGGGCCCCATCCTGAGCCGAGCAGCCAGAGAGTGCTTCCAGATGTGTCAAAGGGGGCACATTTTCCCGCGGCTAGTGACATCTGTAGTCATTGGCATCATTGCTTGGAACTGAGCCCTGTCTGGAAGCAGAGGAAGCTGGGCCACAGCTGGATCATAGCCCCCCTCCAGGGTTTCCTGTACTGGCTGTGCACTCAGCCTCAGTCAGGTGGCTTGGCTGGACCACACTTGCCACAGCTGCCCACCGGCCTGCTGGAAGGTACAGGGCACAGAGCCAGATACTGGTTCTGGCTCTCCCCTTAAACAGCTGATGGAACTTGTACAATCAGCCGGTCTCTGTGCCTCCATTTTTCCATTCTTCAAGTAGGGAGGGTGCCTGTTCTGTTTAGCTCTTGGGGGTGCTTTGAGGTGGAAGTGAGTTCATTAATGAGTATGCATTGTGTGGGAGGTGGTAGAACATCTACCACATCTGGTTTTATAACAGTTTTCTCCTCACCCCTCCTCTGAGGGAGTTAAGGAAAAAAGAGACCATGAAGTTTGGGCACACTAAACAGTGGTAGAGGCCCCCAAAAGGAGGCAGCTTCTCAGAGGCTTTACAGCCTGAAAGGAGTAAGGCTTGCAGTGTATTCAAGTAGCCCTCTGGGTGCATTGTGTAGAACCTGAAACTCTTGACTCGTGTATATCAACTAACAGTCTTTCCTATGTAACATGAATTGCAGTGTCTGTATATGGTCTTCCAACTATCTAATAGCATCTTGAAACTGGTCAAAACTTGAATGCCAATAACTCAGTCACTCAGAATATATATGATTCTGCACTTGGGAAAAACATCTATGCTATCTGTCTGATTGCTGATGGGGGAGGGGTTGCCAGGGTGCAAAAGAAGTGGATGACGAGCTACCGATCAGGCTCACTGCTCCCAGCTAAGAGGGCATTCCACGGCAGTGGGCGTGGGGTGAGGGGGGACGGGAAAGGGAAAGGTCCGAGATAGGTGTGTGACATTTCAGTGAAAGAAATAAGTTGGGATCATTTGGAATTCTAGTGGGAAGGAGAAAGAAATGGCTCTTTTGTTTTAATGAAAGAATTATGAATATGTATGAGAAGAGGTAGGGGTCCATTGAAATTACTCTGTAAAAAGGTAATAGGATGGATGGATTCCCATCCTCCTCTATTGAAACGGGAGACACGTGCCTCATCCCTTCTTTAAGTCCTGATAAATGCTGGTCTTGAGAACACTGAATGTAAATCTGTGCAGCTAACTGGAACTAACTGGATCTTTGAAGATCAAGTGATAGCTGACCCTCCCGGAAGTGAATGGACCAGCATAACCTGTGTAGAGAAGCCCAGAGCCACAGCTCTCTGAGGTGGGTGTAAGGAGGCATTGCAGAGAAGGAAGCCGAACTCAGTGCAACAGGGCCCTTCAGCTTAACACTTCCTTTTGCATTTGGAGGTGACACTTCCGTTTCTGTCCGTCTGTGCAGATGTTTTGGGAAGAGCCCTGACAGCAGCATCTTGATCACTGTCCTTGAAGTTCCTGTCCTTAGACCTGCTGCTGCAGCCTCCCAGGAAACCTGGTGCTGCGTTTGACTGCCTCTGAGACTCAAGACGAGATCATGGCTTTCCAAAGTTTTTACCTGGAAGAGCATCCATCTCAGGAACATATTGTTTTAACCCTTTCTTAAAACGATATCATACTTCCACTCCAGGTCTATGGCTGAACCCTGCAGCGCTCCCTTCTAGAGTACAAAAATGTCCCTTCAAGCCTCTCCATTTCCTTCTCCAGTGAGGTTCCCGTGCTGACCGGAGGCACTATCCTGGGCCTGGTGCTGCCATCCCAACCCTGTTTGGTAGTCTTCCTCTGCCATCTCCTGTTCCCTGAGGTGACACTAAGAAAGTCACCCAGTGAGCCAGATTTGAGGCCACAGGAATGATTGCATTTTGGAGACCAGTGCAGTCCCCATTTTAGAGAGGGGATCTGAAC